AAAATAGTAACAGTGTAGAGAGTACCTTGCAGCAAAGGGTAGTTACTGTAGCTAAGTAGTCAGGAAGGGTTTTCTGAAGAGGTGACATTGTCTCTGAGTCTTGGATGATGATAAAGGAAGCTAGAGTAGGCCGAGATCTTTGGACAGAGCATTCTAACCAAAGGAAATGACAAAAAAAGAGAGGACTATGAAACTAGAACAAATTGTGCATTTTCCGTAGACAAAGAGAAGGCCCGTGAGTGATGGGAAAAGGGGTGTGAGATTAGGTCCAAGGCATTGGTGGGACCAGCTCAGGGAAACCCTTGGGCTCCAATAGAGTTTAGATTCTATTTTAATTTCAATGGGAGATTATGGGAGAGATTTAAATGAGGGAGTGATATGATTAAATACAATCTTTAAAAAGAGCATTCTGGGGGTGCCTGGGTGGCTCAGTGGGTTAAAGTCTCTGCCGTCGGCTCGGGTCGTGGTCTCGGGGTCCTGGGATCGAGCCCCATATTGGGCTCTCTGCTCAGCAGGGAGCCTGCTTCCCCACCTCTCTCTGCCTGCCTCTCTGCCTACTTGTGATCTCTCTCTCTCTGTCAAATAAATAAATAAAATCTTTAAAAGAATTTTTAAAAAAATAAAAAAAAGCATTCTGTGTGATTATGAAGAATGAAGGGGAGGGCCCATGGGTGGAGAGAGTATGAAACCAAGAAGACCAATTAGGAGGCTGCTGGAACAATTCTGCTAAGGCACTGTGGCTTCTGGGCCTAGCCTACTATCAGTAGAATGGGTGATATGTGGTTGGATTGAGGATATATTTTGGAGTTAGAGCTAACAGTACTTCCCAAAGAATGGATATAAGAGAACTAAAGAGATCAGGACTGATTCCCAGCTATTAGACTTGAGCCACAGGCAGAATGGTAATCCTACTACTATGAAGGTAAAGAGGAGGATTGGAATGGTTGGTGTCAAGATTGTCAGACATGCAAGTGGAGATACCAAGTGGACAGATGGACATACAGTCTGGAGATTAGGACTATTCCCGGGAGAGAATATTTCTATAAACTGTAATGGAGACTTGCATTATGTAAAATGTCAAATTCGGTTTTACCAAATAGAAAAAAAATTTAATACTAATAACAAGTGATACTCACTGTTTTTCATGAAAGTAGATCTTGAAAACTTTTATTTAAATGGCTTATAAGTTATATTTTTATAAGACTTTATATATTTAAGCTAGAGAGAGAGAGAGAGCAGAAGCAAGTGCGGGTGGAAAGGCATAAGCAGACTGCCCACTGAGCAGGGAACCTGATGCAGGGTTCAATCTGAAGACCCTAGGATCATGACCCAAACTTACGGCAGACACTTAACCAAATGAGCCACCCAGGTATCCCTTAAACTACTTTTATTGATACACAAGGATTGGATCAGTAAAAACTATAATTTCTCTGTGGTCAGCAAAACCTGATAGAAACAAATGATGATTCAGTTGCAATATCAGAACCATGGTTTCCAAATCAACAAAACCCTTATAGCGCATAGTCCTTGATTCTAGATAAAAGGTTGCTTTACTGGTTCACATCTTGTGATGGTATAGTTAAAATCCTTTCTTCCAGAAAGAATAGAAAGAGAGAGAGGCCCCTCAGAGTTTTATTTTTCTTGACACATCTAATGATATCCAAGCTGGCCTGGCATTGATAATGATAAACTGATTTAAGGGAAATCCATCAATTCAGTTCTGGTAGGATCCCCGTGCTGCCATCAGGGACCTCCTTATTTATGCAGATAGATGAGGTTAGCATACATGAAACACATGTAAGGAAATGTGACCGAGTGTGTGAATGAGAGAACAGTGTTTTGTATTGACCTGTGTGTTCTTGGTTGCGTTTATCCTACACTTTCCCATACTTTTCAAATAGCAACGCTACTTTTCATATGAGCTGCTGTCAGGGAAAGCAACAAGCCTAAAAGAAAGATATCTGTAAAAATTGCAACTGTGTTTCTTAAATGCAGAATAGGCACAATCATCTGAAAGCCAAGGGACTTTTTACTTGTAAGTACCAGATTTGTTGAGAGAAATCAATGGGTTCCAAGGAACTTCAGTGATCAAGAACCATATTTGGAGTTTGCACTAACTTTCACAGAATAGTAGGAATGACAGTCGATTTATCTACCTTTTTACCCAAAATGGAAATGAAGATTTACCAGTGAACAGCCAGTGGAGGAGATTCAGAGAGAATAAGACAGGGTACTTAATAAGAATAAGATAGCTGGTGGTGAAATTTGGTCCCTCCTATGGTCAAGCTTTACATGGAGAATGGTAAAGACATGTTTAAGAGACTTCCAGTAACACTTTCCAAGGCAAAGCCCAAGAGGACAGTGAATTTTGTAGAAGAAATTGAATAATTGAGAAAGAGGCCCCTGGGTTGGGAGGTTCTCTAGAGCTAACATAGACATTTTTAGCTATACACACACACACACACACACACACATACATATATGGTCAAGCAGAAAAATGAGATCTATCTATAGAGAGAAGCATAAAGCAAATGTGCACAGAGAATTTGTGTGGCATGTGAGAGGCTAATCAATCACCCTTCCCAACACTTCCCCCTTGCTTGCCTCACTCTAGTAGAGACTAGAAATTCTAAACACCTGTGCCCAGTCTCCTTTCACACCAGGAGGTCCTATGACTTGTTTTTGGCCCTCGAGAGGCAACGTGGAAGGTTTTGTTGAGGGAGCACCTTCTGGGAAAGCTTTTGCCTTCATGATGAAAGGGTAGCCAAAGGGGCAGTTGTCCATCTTTACACTTCCTCCTGAACAACATCTGGAGCATGACATCTATGATTCATGAAGCAAGGGACAGAAGCAGAGTCAACACACTAGGATGAAGAGGATGGAAAGCCCTCCTGTCATAGACCCAATGCCCTCACTCTTGTTTGTGGTGGAACATGCTTACACCTTTAGTGACTTCATAGAAGTTCAGTGAGGACCAGGAGGAGACAACTGTGGGTAAGCACATTGTCCAGGGAGGCCAGTTGTTGTATTAGTGACAAGAAGAGCCATTCACTGCCTCTGGTCTTATATAACCACTAAGCAGAAACAGTTGAGAGCAAGGAGGCATGTATAAAAATCAGTTCAGAAGCTGTCTCAAGAAGGGCATTCTAAGATCATTAAAAAGAGAGCTAATTGACCATCCAAGAAAATGATTCTGCTATATTTTCCTTACTGCTATAATTAACTACCAGTAAGACATATATAATTATCCTACAGATGAGGTCACTATGTTATAGTCATAGACCATAAGATCTTAAAGGCCTCAAGTTGCAAAAGCAAAAACCAAAAAACTAAATGTAGTAGGAAAGGTGAGTAAAATCCTGTGATGAAACCAGAGAGCACTATCACAGAAGGACCTCAGTCTGAATAGTGGCTCAGGTTTGAATCATCTTGGCCTGTACAACCAGGTCCAATAACCCACCCAAGTTAAGGAAGATTCAGCTGATCTGAAAATCTTTATACTTGGGACAGTATAATTGCTAAAACCCTAGGTAGGTAGACTTAAGGAAAACCCAAAAAGAAAAAATTAAGAAGCAAAATAAAATCTATTGCACTTTTTAATCAAGAATAATTGAGAATATTTTTGAAGGGTTTTGTAACCACAGTGACATTTTATGTTGTTTTGTTTGCTTCTTAATGTGTTTAATAGCATATTAATTTCCTGTGTCTGCATGACAAACTGCCACACGCTTGGTAGCTTCAAACAAAAGAAATATATTTGCTCATAGCTCTGGAGGAGGGCAGAAGTCCAAAATCAAGGTTTGGTTGCTCCAGGAGCTCTATGAGAAAATCCATCCCTTGCCTCCTCCACCTTCTGGAGATTGTAAGCATTCCTTGACACGGGGAGACCACATTAGGAACACATTGCTCCAATTTCTGCTTCTGTGGTCGCGTGGGTTCCTCCTCTTCTGTGTGTCTCTGTGATCTCTCACTGTCTTTCTCTTATAAGGACACTTGTGATTGGATTGAGGTCTCGTCAGATAATCCATAATAATTTCCCCACATCAAGACACTCAATCAAATCAGCAAAGATCCTTTTTCCTTACAAGGTAACATTTAGGTTTTAGGAATTAGGACCTGAAATCCTTGGGTGTTCAAAATGGAGCCTATTACAGAGAGTTATTAAAGAAATCTGATATACTTTATGTATGATTTCAGATACACTTAAGTTTAAAATCAATGTATAACAGTTTAAGGAGTTATATTTTTAAATATTTTTTTTAAGATCTATTTATTGTAGACTGGGCGAGAGAGACAGAATCTCAAGCAGACTCCACGCTAAGTGCGGAGCCTGATGCTGGGCTCGATCTCATGACCCTGAGATCAGGACCTGAGCTGAAACCAAGGGTTGGATACTTAACAGACTGCACCAGCAAGGTGCCCCTAGGGAGTTATATATTTTTTATTATTTGGACAAGAAGCATGTGAATATTTAAAGGAGTGCCACTTGCTTTTAAAAGTTAATTTTAAATAAATACAGAAGATTAATGAACTAAACTTTCAACAAAGGGTAAATGGGAATGAACATTCTTCTCCACACAAAAGACTCTTGGATTTTAACAAGTCTACAACATTTTTTCCTTGCTGACTCTCTAAATTTACTCTATGTGTGTGTTTGTGTGCATGTGCGTGGGAGGAGAGTTTCAGTAACCCTTCGTAGCCTCTTTCTCATTCCTACCCTAAAAGATGAGGAAGGAGTTGGAATTGATGCAAAAAGCAAACATGTGTGCACACCCACCTGCTTACTCCATTCATGACAAGAGCAGGCATTCAGCGGACTGGGTCAGTCACAGCAGTGGGCAGTGGTCCAACTGTAACTGCACAAAAATAGCCTCTGAGCTCACCAACAAACTGTTGTTTGCCTCATAGTGACTCGTGTCTTGTGCTTCTGGGTTTTGGTTCCTTTATCAGTGGGTCACAGGGCTTCTATCGAACGCCTTGTTTTGTTTATTTTCACTTACCATGCTAAATGTGTTCTAGGGTTCAAAGCTGCTTTTTGAAGAAAGATGTTTTCTGAGATGCATTTTTACAATGTGCCCTGTTCCCTGAGGAACATGACTGAGCTCAGGGACCATCCATCATCATCCGTCATGACAAGTAAGTTCTGAAGAAGTAAAAATTTAAAAAAACAAGCGTTTTGCCCCAAGGCATCTGCTCCTCCCCTCAGCATATTCGATTCCTAAAATCATTCCTTTCCTGGTCACTGGCACTTCTTTTCCTCCAAAGATTTCCCACCCAAACCTCCTCAGGGTTTTCGGCTTGCCTGAGCAGAGAGCTGGTCCACCTCATGGAACTTGCATAAGCTGGGCAAAGTGGGGCTGTCCAGGAAAGTGGAGTCTCAGAGGCACTCAGAATGTCTTCCTGAAGATTGCCCTTTGGTTATTTTGTGTCTACTGAAACCACATTTTTCCTTTAGTCCTCTTTCAGTTTGCTGTGTGGTCAAAATGTTGGGTCAATGCTTTATTTTATGTTACTTTCATTTTTGAGAATGACTTTATTGAATATAATACAGGGGATGAGTCATAGTAATTCAAGGTCAGTAATTTGATAGGTTACACCAAATGCTACAGAATGTTACTAATTTTGTTGTGTATATGTTATATATGTACATATATATGGCTTTTGATATTCAGGATATATTATAAATAAGAACTCGGTCACCTTACTTATCACAAAATCAATTGACATGCCTGGCACCTTTTTTTTTTTTTTTGGTAGTGGAGGAAGTTGGAGGGAGATAGCTTAAGTAATTGACTGTGGGTCACAAAGAGGCATCCTTGTCAGAGAAGAAATATGCTTTTTTATGATGACTAGATAAAGTATAAATCACCTCAAGCTAAAAACACTTAAAAATGCTGCATTACTGTAATTTTTTAGTTACTAAAACAGCATTTCCTGAATACTCTGAAGTTTCTTCGGATACCTTCCATTAGAGTACCAGTGAGCCCCATCCCAATTAAGTCTCAGAGAAGAAATGAAATTACAAAAGGACTACATGGCATTTTTTGTTTCTTCAGGAATATGTGGATAGATGCGAGACAAAAATAGGCAGACAAGGGCATTCCATAAAATTGAGAGGGATGAGAGGGGGAGATCAATTAATGACCAAGTCACTTCTAACTGGGAAGGTCATAAAATTTGCTTTTTTATTCCTAAGAACATGTGTGCTTTCCAGTGTTGTGCCTTCCAGCTCCTTGATGAACATGACTGTAGCCGACTGGAGGGGGATGCTGACCTAGCAGATTTGAAAGTCTACAGGGAATTTCAAGTTCCTGGTTGAAGATTGGATTTGAAACACACCTTGATGGCTTAGTCACTCACGTGCCTAGGCATTGCAGGTCATATTACTGAGGGCTTCCTCTGTGGAAATTTCTTTCTGTGCTGTTGAGACCACTGTATATGAAATCACAAAAGTCGATGCAAAGGCTAGTGAGTAACCTGAAATGCCTTGAGAGAAAATAGGGGAAATTTCACAAAGGTCCTACCAAGTCCATAAAATAATGAGTCTTGAAGTTTTGGGAAATGATCATATAAGCACATAAAATCAATGAATAGATAGAGTGGGAAATTTCATTTCCTAGAGAGTCCTGATGGCAGTAATGTCAAGTCACCTCAAAGCCAATGTCACCAATAAATCCCCATAGACTGGATCTTTGTTATCCTAGCAAACCTGACAAAACTCACACAGAAATCTTCACTTGTGTTCAGCAAAGCGCTTTTAAAAATCACAGTTTTCAATCAAAATAAAATTTAAAATACTTACAGAGTTGGGTACACATACACACATCAATATAGATATCCTGATAGAATGTAGTATACAGAACATAGAATTCAGAGCCGGGACACCCAGATTGAGAATAATCTCCACCTCCATCCCTTGGGAAATTTTTTGAACTTTGGTTTCCTGTTTATAAAATGGTATAATAATGCTTTCCATACCTAGGTTGTTATGATGTTCAAAGGCATAAATAAATGTGAAGGTACACTGTAAATAATTATTTAAATGTAACTATTATGTCCATCATTAAAAGAAAATGGAAAAACTGCTATATTCTCTGATGCTGTGGCCAGACCTATGAAACATGCAAACCAAGACCAAGTCTGGAGCTAAAAGTAAGGGGTTGAGGGTAAGGGATACAGCCATACATGCCTCCTTATTCTGTTCTGTTTGTTGGGTAACTTAGAATAAGGCAGGAATCATAGGTGATTATCCGTATTTCCTCAAATTAGTCCACCAGAGGTTTCTCTGGGTTGATAATGTCCTTACTAAAATGAAGATACGGTCTTGATAACTGAGGTGATTATGCATGTAGGCATTAGAGCTAGACTATTTAGGTTCAAATTATGGTTTTGTCATTTACTTGTTCTGCAACCTTTAGAAAATTGCTTGGTCTCTTTGCATCTCGTTTTCCCAATGTGTGAAATAGGGATGATAGCAGTACCTATGTAGAAAATTCTCAGTAAATCATAGTTTGAAAGGCTTCAACCAGGCAAGTAGAATGGCAGTGTGTAAGGAATGTTTTCCTTCTTATTACTCTTTGATTAAATTAACTTTTTTCCCGGAGCAGCACAGCTGCTAACCCCCACAGCAAGGAAAGTCATCCTTTCCTCAAGACACTGTACTACCTGTAGGGGGAAGAAAAAACAAAACAAAAAAGTCTATAATGACAACAGTGCAACTGGAATCCCCTAGAATTGAGCAGTGAAAAACCTGCTTAACCTTATGTTACAGTACTTTCTCTGAAACTCAATCTCCTTTTGTAGGAAAAACAACAACAACAACAACAACAACAACAAAGCAGTTGTTGGCTTAGAACTTTCTAAAACCCTTCATAAAACTGAAATATGAGTGATTTTTTTTTTTCTTCTACATCTTCAGACTGCCTTCAGGGTCAGAGGCCTCATCCCAGTGTAGAACCTTATACCAGGTCAAGGAGAACTAACGAACAAAGCACAGCGTAATCTCAGGTTCCCAGGTCCTGGGGCAGGTAACAGAGCACTTTTCAAACACATAGCCAGGAAGGCTTGCATTTTCTGACCAAGTTAGCACCCTTCCCACCATCTCCCCACAGAGAACCTGAAGGTGGTAACACACAGCATGAGTATCCCCTGAGCCTTCTTAGCTGTCCAGGCAGAACACAGAGTCTTTAGGTAGAACAAGGAAGGTTTGCTTGCCTCTCACCCTCCCTAGAGAACAAATAATAACAATCTTTAAGTGGCTGAGAACATGACACACGAAGGCAGAAAAAGCAGTGAGAGGAAGTCATGATAGAGGGGAATGAGGAATATAAAGGTTCAAAGCAGAATGCAGGCAGCCAGCCACACTTCCTTCTCACCCACTTATTGTCCTCGGAACCCCAGCCCAGACAGGCCTCTGCCACCACCAGGACTCCCTCCCAGCTCCGTGTCCTCATCCGCTCTCTGGCTTCCCGCCCCTTCTCCCTTCACTGCCACAAGGGAATGGCTTCTTCAGCTCACAAATCACTGAAGTGCAGTGGAGTTACCTGCTTTGCGCACAGGTTGCCAGGGTGACCCCTCGGTTAGCCCCATCATGTACCTCTGGGGTGGTTTAGCCGTTGAAGCCTCAGCCTCAGCAAGAACAGGAACCAAGAAGTTCGCTTCTCACAGGACCTGTAACTTGACCTTCTTCTCAGAACAGAGATAAGAGGGATGTGGTTTTTTTTTTACTTACAGGCCTCAAGGCACATCATACATTCGTTTTACAGATGCCAAAAAATGGAAGTCTCAGACAGAAAGCTTTGTAAGAAATGTTACAAGCAGAGGCTCCTAGCGGGTCTTAAAACCCCACGACAAGTCAACCAGACCCAAGTGTCAGGGCCACCAGCAATGTCCCAAGATGTGTCCAAGGGCCCCCTGTGCATAAATCATCCTGGGAAGACGGAGCGTGAGGAGGAAGATGGTATCCAGACTAGCAGAGTGCTTTGGTTTACAAAGGACTTTCATTTTTACAGTCGATTTTGATCTCCATAACCTTATGGTGTAGTCAGGCTGTAGGTCATAATTTCCATTTCAGAGCTGACAAAATGAATGCTTAGGGAGACAAAGTGACTTCTAAAATCCCATAGTGAAGCATGGGTGAACAAGTAGACTTCCCTTTCTGGACTCCTCATCCTCTGCTCCTTCTGCAAAAGGACACTGGTAGTGGGGAAACCAGAGAGTGGGAGACTGTCATCTCCAGGTCTGCCTGAGGAGTTGCTGCAGCAGAGTTGCTCTGGGGACACCAAACACCTATTAGACCCCTTCGGTTTGCACAGGCACACCTGCCTCAGGTCCCTACAGTGAGGCTTCCTGACTGTTCTGCAGGAGAAGTTCTCTCTGAGGCCAGCGATGATCAGACAGGCCCCAGGGGCTACACTTTTCCCTGGAAGCATCACCTTCTGTCTCTCATCTTGTTTACTGCATGTATGAGCGCTGTTGATATCTGGGAGGGCAACACGTGACGCATTGCCATTCCTTCCTAGGTCGCCAGCAGTGTCCTCAGTGCGTGCTCTGTGCAGGCCCTGCTAGGTTTCCGGAACACAAGACTCAGAAAGGGTTAAGTCATGAGATCAGTGGAAGGATGGAAAGATGGAAAAGAGCAGATGGAGCGGGTAGTTGGGTTGTGGGCTTTGGGGAGGGTATGTGCTATGGTGAGTGCTGTGAAGTGTGTAAATCTGGTGATTCACAGACCTGTACCCCTGGGGCTAATAATACATTATATGTTAATAAAAAATTAAATTTTTTTTTAAAAAGATGGAAAAGAGCAAGTATAGACTGTGTATAGAGGGCAGTGGGGGGAGGGGCGGCAAAGGAGAACATCCCATACCAAACACATCATCGATTTCCTAAGCTGACAGCAGGAAGGGTGCTTGATACGGTTGTCAGTTCCAAGTCCTAAAGGACATCTCAGCATGAAGAGCAGAGGAGGGGCAGCACTCCGCTGACAAGAAAGAAACAGGTTCTGGGGTCTGGCATACCTGAGTTCAAACCTGGCCTCTATAGTGTTCCCTGTAGAGGCTGGTCAGAGTTGCTAGTATTCACCCCTTTGACTGGTGAGCACAACGGAGCTGCAGGAACACCTGGGGTGCACCGCTCTGGGAGCATTAACTGACTGGGCTTTAATGACGGGCTTGTCAGTGTTCCAACCCTGGCCCAGCCCTAACTCTGGACTGTGGACAAGTCATTCATTTAAGCTCCAGGGTCTCATCCGTAAAAAGAACTAGAACAGTACCACCTTCCGGGAGTTGTTTCGAGAATTATATGATCTAATGAGTATAAAATCCTGAGTCCAGACCCTGGTTAGTGGCAAACATTCAGTAAACGCTAGTCAGCATCATTCTGTCTACTGGGCTGTAGGGTTCCCCAACATGAGAGCAAAATTCTTCACGGCAACACCTTTCATTCATTTTCCAAGTTCCTGCTTCTCATGTAAAAAGCAGGACAATACGGAGCTGTCATTAACGGGCTCACATTTTCCTGGGTGGTGCAGGTGATCCGCATAAGTCACCCACCCCCCAAATCTACTACTTTGAAGAGATTATTTTGAGCTGAAGGCAACTGAGAAAAAGGAGACACGGGAAAAAAAGCAGACACGAGAAAAAAATGACCTTACCAGAGTTTGCCATCCTCAAAAGCCTAAGCCTTTTTTCCTTCATCCTGTCTCTAATCTACAAAGTTACTGTCCTCCATTAGGATGGTAGAGAAGCCCCAGTTCTAACCACCTCTGAGTTACTCATCACTGATGCTCCCACGTATATGTGCCATGCATGTATTCATCAACTCTCTTTTTCTCTTGTCAAATTAATTTGCAAGGTCTTGGTCAGAGAATCCAGAAGGATTAAGAAAAGGTTGTTGGGGGGCACCTGGGTGGTTCAGTGGGTTAAAGCCTCTGCCTTCGGCTCTGGTCATCATCCCAGGGTCCTGGAATCAAGCCCCACATTGGGCTCTCTGCCCAGCAGGGAGCCTGCTTCCTTTCCTCTCTCTCTGCCTCCCTCTCGGCCTACTTGTGATATCTGTCTGTCAAATAAGTAAATAAAATATTTAAAAAAAAAAAAAAAAAGAAAAGGTTGTTGGTTTTATCCCCCCTCCCCTATAGTTGACCAGTCTTCCAAAATCACTCTAGTTCTGAACCATTGCCAGGAGCCAGATACTGCCTACACCTGAAGTGGCATAAATCCCAAAGGTCGATAGCTTGTGTTCATATCCAGGACTTATCTCACCCGTTCCCTTCTACACCTCCTGTGGATTCAACATGAGGCTGTCTAAGGAGGAGCATTTAACCACAGTGACCACTGGTCTCATGAGGTTTTGCTTAGAGCACAGCTCACCAGTAGCCATGATAGTTGCTGCGTTACCAACACTGATATCACTGTGATCAGCGGGGATCCATGGAGTGTGGGAAATGACCTTGACACAAGCTTAGTGTTTATGAAAATAAGGACTATGATATTTAGTGTTCTCATGCAAGTTCAAATTTAGTATTTCTTAAATTTAGCAAATTCTAAAGAAATCACTGCCTGAGGAACAGAAAACTAGAGGCAGCCATCTCTGGCATTCAAAGCAGTGATCTATAAAGACTGAGTACACATCAATAGAATTTACAGTGTGTCTCAAAAAGAAAGTGATTTATGATGACTGCAGAACACCAGCAATCCCATCATAGCTTCCAGAAGAGAGAGCTCAAGCTAGGCTTGAGACTTTTATATTCGGTGCAGTGGAGCAGAGACCTGAGGTCAAAGAACTGCAAGATGCAATGACCCACATTCCAGGAGAATAAGTCAGTGTCCAACTAGAATACATTGTCCTGGATCACAGACACTCCCTCCTTTCTGGCTTTATATGTCCCTTGTTTGGCTCAGAGAGTAGATCCTCACAAATATTAGAGGAGGATGACAGATATTTCATGGTTTAAAACAAGAAAGATTTCTGAGTTGATGTTTTTATGGAGAAGTATGCATATTGTGATATATATAATTATATGTGGATATAGACAATGAAGATAAATTTCCATGGATTTTATATGACAAGGACTGAGCCTTTTGGTATAGCATATGCTACTGAGGAACTAATGGTACTCTTGTGTCTCTCTCTACTGTAAGAAGCATTAGCCACTTACTTCCTCTGAGAATGAGTCCAACATGTGCGTTCTACATGAAGAAAGAGCCAAACATTTATTTCCAGGATGACAAAGTATGCATGTGTGTGTGTGTAAATGTTTATTTCATAAGGTCACATAATTAATGGGAAATTTTATCTAGGTTAATACTTATTATGCTACCTTGAAGAATCATTTACTGTCTTAATTATACAATTCCATTTTCACCACCAATTTTTTTTTGGGGGGGACTCTGAAAATCTGTAAAGAGCTGTTTAACCTGCACATGTGGTCAGATTTGTCTAAGGAAGAATTGTCATAGCTACTACCAGAGTCAAAAATGCCTGTCCTATAGTCACAACGTCTGTCTCATTTGAGAGAAAAAAAGAAAGATACCCTCCAGAAATCTTAGAGCCTTCTCAACACATTGCATTTAAAGTCACTCTTCATTTGAGTGGTCAAAAGTTCATGGAAATTCATACTTCTTGAGAATATTATTTGCCTTTTGAGAGTCCATATAATGTCAGAATTATTCTCTTTCACTTTCTGGTGTTAAGGGCAATAGGAAAAGTTGAAAAACATTGAAATGTAAAATGCAATCTTTTTTTTTTTTAATTTTATTTTTTATAAACATATATTTTTATCCCCAGGGGTACAGGTCTGTGAATCGCCAGGTTTACACACTTCACAGCACTCACCATAGCACATACCCTCCCCAATGTCCATAACCCCCCCTCCCCCCCATCAACCCTCAGTTTGTTTTGTGAGATTGAGAGTCACTTATGGTTTGTCTCCCTCCCAATCCCATCTTGCGATCTTCTTTTTTTAAATGAAGGGAAGGTAGAAACCAAGTTACACAGAAGAGTGAACCAATGTTTATTCTTGGCAAATTTCCTAAACCTATTATTAAGCATGTGGTTTGAAAGCAGAATTTTTTTAAAAGCAGTTATCCCTAGGGGCCTATATGGGTTTTTAGAAGCATTAAGTCCCAAAATAATGTAATACTTTTTTGATGGTGGTTCAGGATGGTTGCTTGTTATGCAAGTGTATTTATAAAGATACTGTATTATTCAAGCTCACAGGTGGTGCTCCAGAGGGTGTCTTATCTGTCCTTGTTCAAGCCACCTTCTCACCTCTTTTCTGGTTTCCACAAATTCTCTCTTCCCTCTGGCTCTGTCTTCCAGTGATGATTTCTACTTTTCAGAACCCCAATATCCTATACAAGAGTAATGATGTTTTGAAGCTATTACACCAAAGCGTTTTTCATCCCCTTTCTCCATATTTCATACATATAATAACTATTCTGCCATGATAGTCCAGGGGAAAAAGGAGGAGAGAGAGGGACACTTCAGAGTGCACAGTGTGGGGAAAGTGTCCATCAGATAGCCAGAGGCAGTGAAATGCTTGCCCATTTGGTCTTCATGGATGGCAGGAAGGAAGAGAGAGACAGAGAAGGTGCAAAAGGTTCGTAATTAGAAGTCAACACTTTAATGGCAGAAATATGAGAATAGGAA